TGTGGGTGTGTGTGTGTTCCCAGAACCAGCACAAGCTGGAACGGAGTCGGGCTGCCTGCCCACCTGGCTCCTATTACACTTTATGCAGACCTGCAGTGGGGGGTGGGGGTAGGTCCAGGACCCGGTGCGAGCCGGGACTGAGCCAGGCTGCTGGCCAGCCTGCTAAAAAATTTACTGGTGGGGGGGAAATGTGTGTAGTCTATAGTATTAACCTATAAGCTTTTGCTCATCGGTTAATCTACTCCACTATTACATCCCGGCTGTGTCTACACTGGCCAGTTTTTCCAGAAAATCAGCCGCTTTTCCGGAAAAACTTGCCAGCTGTCTACACTGGCCGCTTGAATTTCCACAAAAGCACTGACATCCTACTGTAAGAAATCAGTGCTTCCTGCGGAAATACCATGCTGCTCCCGTTCGGGCAAAAGTCCTTTTGCGCAAAGCTTTTGCGCAAAAGGGCTAGTGTAGACAACTCAGATTTGTTTTTCGCGAAAAAGCCCCGATGGTGAAAATGGCAATTGGGGCTTTTTTGCGGAAAAGAGCGTCTTTGCGGAAAAGCATCCCCGCCAATCTAAAGTGCTTTTGCGGAAAAGCGTTTGTGCCAATCTAGACGCTCTTTTCCGAAAATGCTTTTAACGGAAAACTTTTCCGTTAAAAGCATTTCCGGAAAATCATGCCAGTCTCGACGTAGCCCCCTAGTACAGAGAACTACCATTGGACTACTCCTGATGATTTTCATTGTGCAATTCCTCTCTGCCTTTGCATTTCGTTTCCTGAGCCATGCAGCGTTTTGGGGAGACAAACTCTCACGCAGCTGAGGCTTGCATCCAAGGTGGCTGTCTGAAACATATAGGGATGACCTGAGATGAACAGCAAGCGCAGTGTTTCACTGTCCTCCTTTCCCCGTCTGCTTTATTTCCTCCTTCCAGGTGTCTGAAAGACGGAGCCGGAGAAGTCAGCTTTGTCAAGCACACAACTGTTGAAGGTAGGCAGGTCCCATATCACTACTTTCTGGTCAGGGCTTTCACTGGGACGCTGTCCTCGAATTCTGTCTGCATTGCACCTGCCTTCATTTTTCTCCCGGTTTATCCCGAGTCTCTTTTTCCTTGGGCTCTCAGCGGGACCACGTTCTGTATGCTATGGGCCTGATTGCTAAATAATCAGCAGAGAAATTAGATTTCACCTCTAGGGCTTGTCTACAACTGGCACGTTTTGTCACCAAAACCTGCCTTTTGGCAACAAAAGAGTGAGCGTGTTTACACTGCAATGCAACTTTTGTCAGGAAAACACCCACTTCTGGTGACAAAAAACTTCCAGCCCTGCAAGAAACTTTTGTTTTTTCCTTTCCCTTTATTGTCACCAAAGAGTAGGGTGGACTCTGCAATTTGTTTTGCGGAGAGAACTGGCTTCCGCCCCAGAATCCCACCATGCCTGCCCTGCTGGCTGTGCTCAGTGTTTTGTGAGCTCTGCTGCCCTGCAGGCATGTGTCTCTCTCCTTTCAAAGCTCTGGGAAGAGTCTGACAGCTGAGTGAGCTGCTCTGTTTCGGAACAAACAAAGAACAAATCATTGGAGTGCTCCTGTTCTGCCCTGCTAGGAACACAGCAGCAGGCAGGCAGTTGCTAGAGGTGAAGGGCTGGAGAGACGGCTGTGCTGCTCTGGCATTCCTTAGCATGGGGAACTCCCAGGGCTATGAGGAAATCCCAAGAAGTACAGGGATCTGCTCTGCCCTCCCCCACGCTGCACTGCGGGATGCTTCCCCACAATGCTTTGCTCTGTCATCGGGGTGCTAGCCATGTGGCCAGGAAATGTCGACAATGGGAGGTAGAAAAAACGATTTGACCGTTTTTTCCCTTTGGGCAACTTTTGCCTGTCGGCAGCACTTTTGTCACCAAACCTTCCCAGTGCGTAGAACCTGGGACGATGCCAACTCTTCCTACAGCGAGGGGGGAATGCGTGTGCCGGAAGTCGTCGCCCTTCTGGTTCTCATTCAGGGACAAAATCAGTGGGGAGTTTCCTGAAATGGGAATTCCTGCAAGCCCCTTTCCTTCTCGGTGCTGTTGTAACCTGGGCTCTCCCGTCCCTCACAGAAAATGACCCAAGCGGGAAAGACGATTACGAGCTGCTGTGTGAAGATGGCAGCCGGAAGCCGGTCGACCAGTATGAGACGTGTTACTGGAGCAGAGTTGCAGCTCATGCCGTCGTGACGCGGAGCACCGCTGAGCGGGCCGATGACATCTGGAGCTTCCTCTCTGAGGCCCAGGTATTGGCTTCCTTTCTTCTGGGCCCCCCTTCAGCTCTCCGGCACCCCTCCTTTGTGTGCTCGCTCCACTCTTCCGCCCCCCTCGGGATGCCCTGACCTCGTCTCCCCTGCGCAGGCCAGGTACGGCAAGGGCACCAAAGATGACTTCCAGCTCTTCGGCTGGCCTACCGGGAAGGACCTGCTCTTTAAGGACATCGCTACCGGTTTCGTCCGCCTCCCTGCGAAGATGGATGCCCAGCTCTACCTGGGCTACAACTACTGGACCGACATTCAGACTCTCAGGCCCGGTGAGCCGGGGGTGGGTGGCCATGACGTGCGGAAGTGGGGGAGGCTCCGCTAGGAGGCTGCGGCCTCGCGCCGCTTCTCTCCGGTGGTTCTGAGCGGGTGCGGGTGCGGGGGGGAGC